TTAGACACAGGCACAGATTCAGCCAATGTGCCTGAATCTGTCCAGGGAAAAGTCTTAAGCTGTATAAGGACCCAGGTACATCACAAGTGTGAGCTGCCTTCTTCCCAAGGAGAATAAATCCTCACAAAATATGAGGGTGGGTGGGAAGAATTAGGGACACTAGGAATATGGGGAATTACCTGAGACAGGAAAAAAGAGGAGATAAAGCAGTAGTGAGCACTGCATTTCATGTGTAGTGCCAACTAATGTTTTCAGCATAATTCAATGACTATTAAGGGTCAAGCACACTGCTGGACTTTCCAGAGAGGTAATGGCATTATTTAAAACAAAATTCTGATAATGTGTTTATCCAAAGTACAGTGTTTTACCCGAGCTACCTGTGGTGATAAATCATGAGAAGAGAAAGGAATATTCCTCGGAGGCCCCATCATGGTTCTCAGTGTTTAAGAACTGAGTGGAGAGAATCAAGCAGAGGTTAGACGTATGTATTTCCCTGCTTATTTCTTCTCATACTGTCCACGACAAATGTGAGCTGATGTATAAATTACCCCTTCCATATGAAACTTTGACATGTTTCCTGACACAAAATGAGCAACAAAAATCCTATCTGCTTTATTTGAATTTTGCCAGAAAAATAATTATAGACAAATTTTTCATATTTTCAAGGTCATCTTGTCCAGATTTTGCTAAAATGACTCTGCAACATCTCTGAAAAGAATGTAAAACTCTGTGTCTCAGAAGTCTTTTTTAAAACCTGTATAATTTTCTGAGAAACATTATCTGATACATGTCATACATAAATATAGACTGACTTTAAGAACAAGAACTGAGTGATTTAAAAGAGGGTCTGGGCTACTACCCTTTGCAACAACATGGATGGAACTGGAAAGCATTATGCTGAGTGAAATAGGCCAGGTGTTGAAAGGCAAATACCATATGATCTCACCTTTAACAGGAAGCTAAACAACAAAACAAACAAGCAAGCAGAATAAAAACAGACACTGAAATAGAGAACAAGGGGACAGTGACCAGAGGGGAGAGGGGAGGGAATTTAAGGGGAGAAAGGGGAGGGATTTGGAGGAACAAGTATGAAGGACACAGGGATGAGGACTAGGGGAGTAGGAAATGGGAGGGGGAGCATGGGCGGGGGGGTGGGGCTGGGATGGGAGAAATAGTCAAAAAACAGTACTTGAAAAATAACTAAATAAAATTTAAAAATAAATAAATAAATAAATAAATAAATAAATAAATAAATAAATAAAGGTTAATACTTAGTAGACAAAAAAAAAAAAAGAGGGTCCGGGGATCATTTCCCAAAACTATAGAACATACCATCTAAGAAGATCAGAAGTGCTGTGTACATATAAAAAGGACCCTTCCTGCTTCAGAAATCCTTGCACAGAATCTGAAACCATATATCTAGGATAACTCATGACTTCTCTCAATCCCTTTCCTGGTACACACGCAAAATGATTTGAGCTAATGTGGGTTGATATGTTTTTCCCACTCACCAGACCCCAGGACAGAGACACAAGTTCTGTGGATTGTGAGACAGCTGGGGCCTCTTGAGGCTCCCTTACTTGAGTATAGCACCAAGTGAGCAGGTTTATAGAACACTGGCTGTGCCTCTCCCTGGCGGCTCATATCAAATCCCTGTGGTATAGGCTTTCAGAAAAGCATCAAATGGGTATGTGCCACATATAGCTCTATTGCCAATCCTTGTGGATCTTTCCCAGTCCCGCAGACGACATATGATATAAGCTTAGAACATGCAGCCAGTTCTGCCTCAGGCTTCCTTTCTTCTCTTCCCAGCTTATCACATTTTAGGTTCTTTAGAGATAGAAGCCATAACATAGACCATCACTATTGTAGTCTCAGGATCATCTTGCATCATATTTGTATTTTTAGGGTATATAATATTTTACATCTTCCTACCCCCTTCCTCTAAATCCACCCTTTTTTCTTCAATTATAAGTATATTTAGGAGTGGGTAAGGGTGAAATATCTAGAGCACTATTTCCATGAGCGGTAATATTAATAGATTTCCTCCAGGATAAATTCATTTTGCACTACTTGGTCTTTGGTACAATAACATATGGCTTCCTTTTAACTGCTGTTGTCTTTCTCCCTCCTTCCTCCCTCTGTCATCAAAGTGAATTCTTCATATTCACTCATAGAATAATTGTAAGTGGTGGAGAAGATTTAAAAGGATTCACCAGGAGCATATAAAATGGGCCTGGATTTTGTTTTGAAGCTGAGGAAAGTTATACACAACTTTTGGTTGCAATAGGTATGGAGCAGGATAGGAATAGCCTGGGATTGTGAGATGGGAGCCAAGTTGAGAATGAGGTAAAGAAGCTATCTCAGGCGTACCCAACCAGTCTGTTGTTCAATGATTCAACTAAAACACTCAAACAGCTCAAAGTAAAATTATACTCATAGATGAGATTTGGTATAGCAAAGGACACTGTGAAAGAACAGTAGAAAAAATATACATAGGTAAGGGCAAGAGAGGTGACATATAGGAATCAAACATTTCTTCTCTGAATGGGTCTCTTCAGCTGCAGTCCTCAGAGACATATGAGAGATATCTGTACAGGGAAGACTACTTGGGTTTCGGAGTCCAGAGTTCTTAACTGGAGCTGGTCACATATTTCTGTATCTTCAAAATATCAACATAGTGTATTCACTTCTTTCTGAGTTCCTGCCTTCCTCTTCAGAGAGCCTTGTGACTGCATGAGGCCCACTCAGGAAATTCAGGACAATCATCCCATGTTAAGATTTCCTTCACTTAATCACACCTACAAAATTTCTATTTGAATGTGAGGTAATATAGTCACAAGATAGGATGTGGAGCTATTTGGTGGGCCTGTAATTAAGCCTCCCACAACAAGAAATAAAGATATAAGAAGAATGAAGAAAATAATTGTTTGAAAGAGCAAAATATAGATCAAAAAATTTTATGTAGCTATACAGGGATTAAAATCAAGAGATAAGATGAAAGTCTTATATAAATGGGGAAGGAAGATGGAATAAAATTATTCCAGAAGCTCTCATACAAAGATTAAGACTAGCAGTGTTATGGAGATGGGAAGAATATGCAGAGTTCTAGGTATATTTTCAGTCCTATTAATGGTAATATACATTGTATAATGAGAGGCAAGACTAACTGGAGAACTGATCTCTGAAGCACTTATGAAACTGGACATCAGAGATGTGTTTACAACAGTGACAATGAATATAGTCAGGCTACATGTAAGAATATGGGTAAATCTAAAACATATACCCTGTAACTCAAAATGTTTTTAAAAATATTTTATTTATTTATTTTAGGAAAGAGGGGAAGGGAGGGAGAAAGAGGGGGAGAGAAACACCAATGTGAGAGAGAACCATTGATCAGTTTCCTCTCACATGTGCCCCAACCAGGGACCGAGGAGCAACCCAGTCATGTGTCCTGACCCAGAAATCAGTCCAGCGTCCCTTTGCTCTTTGGAACAATGCCCACCCAACTAAGTCACAGTGGTCAGAGCAAAATAGAATTGATTTTTGAAAGAAATCACTAAAAGCAATTCTATGCAATCTATATATGCTTATTACATATGCTAATGCATATGCTTATTACATACATACATTAAAGATAATAAAACAGGGAAGAGAGAGATAAATGACAAACTCAAATTTGTGTGGTTTATTTTGGGGATTAAGGTTGAAGTTTATGATTCAGCAAGATATGAAGTATACATAACTTGTACTTAATAAACTAAAATTGCGGCAAAATATAATTAAATAGAATTAAGTGAAAATATACATGCATTTGTTGTATTATTTTCTTCATCTTTTGAATACTTGAAACATTTTTAATAATAATAATATAATGTATAAACAAAAGAGAATGAGTGGAAAGCGAATTGAACATTTCAGATGATATTAAAATAAATTAATTCAAAAGTGAAAATAGGTTCATCTTCTTCGAATAAAGGAAGATACAATTCCTTTTTTGATTGGAGGGAGAATTTTATGGCATATCTACAAATAGATTCTTTTATGTATGTAAAAGAGAAGACAGCATATGGTGTGAAGTTCAAATGACTGGGAGATAGTCATAAATATGTGAAATTGCAGCTTTGGATTGTGGAAAAAGTCACCCAAAATAGAAAATATAAAGTTATTTCAACTGATTTCAAAATTAAGTTTAGAGTTGAAAAGTACAAAAAACAAGCAAGAATGAACATTGATGGAGATCTCCCTGGAGTATTATACTCCACAGTGAGTATAAGACACAATGAAATATCAATGTTGTCATAGAGGTAGACAAAGTGAAAGTTTAAGGGACCAGGACTAGAGATCTCAAGGCCAAAATTCAGAGACTCTGAAGTCAGAGTGTGAGAATTCTTGAATGGCAGAACATTACGCTAGAGATTTAGAGTCTGGTGATAGAAATGTTGGTGCAAATTTAGGTGGAGAGTGCAGACATTGTAATTTTCATGGCTTAATAGTTGTTTTAACATTAGATATTTATTTCTTTGTTTTTTCCTCTTGTCTCTACTTTGACAACAATATCATCAAGAAAACAACTATGAAGGCAAAAACTTAGTTTAACTCAGTTATCTCCAGGTCCTCAAAAAATCAAAAAGAAAGAACCTATTTACTAAATAACTATACCTCTATCAAGTATGATAGGTATACAGGTGATAATAAGTAGTACTTTATTCATCTGTGCAAGATGAACTATAAGACTACAAATTTCTCTGACCAAAGTATACGAACCATTGTACAAAGAAATAATGAGGATAGTTCATTATTTCAAAGTTTTAATTTACTAAATAATTATTATTATCCAATATGTTCTCATTTAAATCATAGAATGGAAATAGTTATCCAACTTGTATCTCATATTATTCAGAAGATTCAGTGGTCAAACAGAGTCTCTGTGGTCATATGGAATATTAGCAAGCTCTTTGTTTCATGAAGCATTCTTTCTCTGTTAGGATAGTGCTCATTCATGTTACAAATGTAACTTGGGATGTTACTGATCCTTTTTTGGTGAAGAGTTTCAGAATTTTATCTCGTATTTGTGTGGCTTTTACCACATACACAATGGGGTTCATCACAGGAGGAATGAGAAAATGTGTGTTGGCCAGGGTCACATAAATATGTGAGGGAAGTTTTGGGCCAAATCGATGTAATACAGACAGGCATATCATGGGTGTGAAGAAGAGGATCACAGCACAGAGGTGGGAAATACAGGTGTTGAGAGCCTTGAGTCTTCCACGGTGGGATGCAATGCTTAGCACAGTTTTCAGTATCAGAATATATGAAAAAAAGATAAGGAGAAAATCAAGCCCCATAGTAGATAGCAGCACAAATAGTCCAAAGATGCTGTTGATCTTGGTGTTGGAGCAGGAGAGCTTTAAGATATCAGGATGCAGGCAGTAGGAATGAGAGAGTACATTGGAATGACAGAAGCACAGCCTCCTCAAGAGGATAGGTAGGGGTACCTGTACAGTTAAGGTTCGCACTACAATGGCCAGACCTATCTTGGCAATTACACCACTGGTAAGGATGGAGGAATAGTGCAATGGACGAGATATGGCCACAAAACGGTCAAAGGCCATTGCCAGTATGACAGCTGACTCAAAATCCTGGAAGGTGTGGATAAAAAACATTTGCGTGAAACAAGCTGAGAAGGTGATCTCATGAGCATCCAGCCAGAAGATCCTCAGCATTGTGGGGAAGGTGAAGAGGGACAGACCTAGATCAGAGGCAGCTAGCATAGCCAAGAAGAGGTACATAGGCACGTGGAGGGTCTGTTCTCGCCAGATAACTGCAATGATGGTCATGTTGCCCACCAAAATGATGAAGAACATGGCAGTGAATGGTGTGGAGATCCAGATGTGCACAGCCTCTAGACCAGGAATGCCTGTCACCAGGAAGGTGGAGAATGTGGAGTTTGTACTGTTGACATAATGCACAATGCCAGGGTAGCATGCCTCTCCTAAAACAAATTCATTGTTCAAAAACAAATATGAGAACATGGTTCTATATTTTTTATACTTTATAAAGTATATAAAATAGTATATTTTTATACTATATTTTTATACTATTTATTCCAAGGTATATACCTTGGAATAAATAATTACCAACCTTATGAAAGCTTTAATTTTATACTGGTCCTGACTATTTGTGTAATACTTATATGTAAAATATAAGTCTAACTAGGAAATACTTGCCCTGTTGATCAAATTCATCAGATATGTTAGCTAATTGAAAGCAAAAAAAGTCTTCTGTCTGCTTCTATGTGTTTGACTATTTTCTATTCCTCATATAAGTTATATCATGTAGTACTTGTCCTTCTGCATCTGGCTTATTTTACCTAGTCTTATCACCCCCAAGTCCACCCATGTAGGTGCAAATGGCCAGATTCAGTTCATTTTAAATGAATAATATTCCACTATATGCATATGCCATATTTTCTTTCTTTTTAAAAAAGATTTAATTTATTTATTTTTAGACAGAGGGGAAAGGAGGAAGAAAGAGAGGGAGAGAAACATCAATGTGTGGCTCCCCCTCATGCACCCCACTGGGGACCTGTACTGCAACCCAGGCATGTGCCCTGACTGGGAATCAAACCAGTGATCCTTTGGTTCACGGGCTGGTGCTCAATCCACTGAACCACACCAGCTGGGGTATATGCCATATTTTCTTTACCCATTCATCTATCAATGAGCATTTAGTTTGTAGTTTACCTAAGTCATACAATTGATGTAGTGGTATTTGAACTTAAATACTGAAATCCTCAATAAAATAATGTAAATTCACACCTTGCCTTGTTGTTACAGTAATATATTGCTCTATGAAATTCCTGTGCCTTGGTCAATAGTAAAACATGTTAGGCTAGTTATTAAAGCATGCTTTGATCTGCTTTTTATGCAAAGAGATGAATATAGAAATTGAAAATAATAATTTAGAAAACTTCATATACATTGACATAATTCAATTTCTTTAATAATAAACTTTAGGTTTTGTATTTTGGGTGCATTTTTATTATTTTGTACCATTTCATTTTTACTTATGTTTGACAGTGAACTCTTCATCTCCATGTGACATCATCCCCATTCTTCATATCCATGTGACATCATCCCCACTCACAATAAACTTTTGCATGAACTAATCACCATGATTTCTCACTATCTTCACTCACTAATGTCATTGCTAGTTTTTTTGCTTTTTCATTGGCCTTATGAAATATGCACTTCAAAATCTTCATCGCCTTCATGAGACATATAGACTCTATATGAAATAGTCTAAGCATTTCCCAGATGCTTTAATTAAATTTTTACTTGAGTCCAATTCTTGGCAATGGCAGAGTACTAGAGAAAACAATAAAAATATAAATGACTCTTCCTAAAGGTCTCATCTTTTTAGTCCACCTATTAAAAACGAGAAGTATAGGATCCTGCCCACTCTTTTGGCTTTAAGTTGGAATACTATTTAATTTGTTAAAATCTTAACATGGATCATTTTGGTTGAAATTTTCAGAAGTTATCAGAATGATTAATGTCCTTCATGCAATCTAATACTAACAAATATCTAATAAAATCAGTCACAGCAGCTTAATAAAAATATTTTTTAATTTAGAATTATGCTGGGACAGGAAGATGGATGAGTACATATGAAATTCAGCCTGATTTCATAAGAGCACATTCTGCCTATTCTAATCTGAGGCCAGATTTCTTCTCAGTGCCTTTCCTTATTCATGAGTTCTTTAGCATTTTCAGAATATCCCAGGGATAAGCTAAATCTCATGTTCAGTGTTCTTCTCATGGGCATGGATAGCTCTCCACTTACTCAATTCAAGAATACTTCAAGCACACTTGCTCAGTGCCATTGTCCAAACATCTCAGATTTTTAAAAAATTGAGCCTACTTTCACAGAAAAAAAACATTCTTCAAACCTAGTGATTTCTTGTTTTGCAAACTACGGTTTCTCTACTTACTAATTTATCCCAAGTCTCTGACATTTGTTCTATTTCAAACTCAATTTAGATAAAACCATGTTATTACTCTCACCTGGCATCTTAGGGCAGCCTGTTTGCTAAAGTCCTAAGAAGACAGCTTTCTCATCCATGTCCAAGATTGAAAATGTCAGTGACTTGATTTGCTTTGCTTTATTATTCATGCAGATTTCCCCTGAAAATAAGAGTCTCCTGGGACTCCATCTCTGCTAGATCTGAGAGTTCTCATTAATTCTTTTTACTTCCTAGGAATACTCCCCAAATGGCCCAAGTTCTTGGTTTTTTTTGCATCAGATTAATTCAAAATAGAGCCAATCAACACAGTTTCACAAAGTGTTGGCATGAATTTAATTCTGTTTAAAATCTATTTAAAATTATTTGTATGCATGATGGTATCATTCGTATTTTTGTAATGTAATTTGGGTAGTCTAAAAATGTATTTCATCAAAGGCTCTTCATTTAATTTTAATATAAGTTCAATGCATGCATGTTTTGGGCATGAAACATTATTCACTGTATGTAGAGATTACCTTAGTATTCAAAATGATAAACAATATTTGCTTGTCTTCCATCACCCTTCCTCCTTCAAACATATAACTACCTTACACAGTCACATAAATATAAGGCAGGGGTTCATTTCCCCCTTCCTCCAGGCTCCAGCAACCACCATTCTATTCTCTGCTTAGAGCCTGACTATTTTAGATAACTCATATAAGTGGAATCATTGAGTATGTGTCCTATAATTGGACTATTTCACCTAGTATAATGTTCTCCAGGTTTATCCATGTTGTTGCAAATGGCAGAAATTGCTTCTTTTTAGAGGCTGAATAATATTTCATTATATAAACATACAACATATTCTTTATCTGTCAATGACATTTAAGTTGTTTCAATGTCTTGGTTAGAGTAAATAATGCCGCAATAAATATGAGAGGACAGATATCTCTTTAAATCTTTTCAATTCAGAACATGAAAGAGTGGCCATATATTTTTTTCTCCAAAGGTGGACCTTTCACTATTGTCTGTGTCCATGGGTTACCCATAAATGTTCTTTGGTTAATCCCTTCACCACCTTTCATCCAGTCCCCTCTCCCCTCTGGCAGCTGTCAGTCTGTTCTATGTACCTATGCTTCTGTTTCTATTTTGTTTGTTAGTTTATATTGTTCATTAGATTTCACATATAAGTAAGATCATGTGGTATTTGTGTTTCACTGACTGGCTTATTTCACTTGCATAATAGTTTTCAGATCAATCCATACTGTTGCAAAAGGTAAGAGGTTTTTCTTTTTCCAATATGCCATTGTGTAAATGTACCACAGCTTCTGTATTATACCATGTCATGGATTAGAAGAATTAACATCACTAAAATGTTGATACTACCCAAAGCAATTTAAGCATTCAAAACAATTCCTATTAAAATACCAATGACATATTCACAAAACTAGAACAAATATCCCAAAAATTTATATGGAACCAAAAAATACCCCAATAGCCACAGCAATCTTTCAAAAGAACAAAGCTGGAGGCATCACAACTCCTAATATCTAATTATAATATGAGGCCACTGTCTGTTCTTTTGCCTTGGTATGGGCAAAAGAACAGACACTTAGATCAATGGAATAGAACAGAGAGTCCAGGGACAAACACACAACTTTATGATCAACTGTTTGACAAAGGTGGCAAGGGCATATGATGGGGCAAAGAGAGTCTTTTCAATAAACGGTGTTGGGGAAAACTGGACTGGTACAGGCAAAAAATGAAACTAGACCACCAACTGACATCATACACAAGAATAAGTGCAAAATGGATAAAAGACTTAAATGTAACTCACAAAACCATAAAAATCCTAGGAAAAAACATTGACAGTAAAATCTCAGATATCTCATAGAGCAATATTTTTGCCCACATATCCCCTAGGGCAAGGGAAATGAAGGAGAAAATAAACAAATGTGACTACATCAAATTAAAAACCTTCTGCATGAAAAAAAAGACTCACAGGTATTTAACTAAAATCATGCCCACAGTTATACCTGTTACCTGAATGTTTGTCCTAAATTCATAATTGCTACAAAGTACAAACAACAGGAACATACTTCCCATGGTGAATTGATTTCAAAAGTCAGGGTTTCGTGGTTGTAGCTACATACTATAATGGAATTTGATAGTAAAACTCAGTGAATTTCCTACACATGCAACACACGAATGAATGTCAAGAGCTAAGTGAAGAAATTAAAGCAAAATAACTATGTAAAACTGTATAATTCCCTTTTTATGACATTTTTGTAAAAACTAAAACTATAGAGTTTGACATTTTTTAAAGTGGTTTCCAGGGCCTAGTGTTGGTGGGGAGAGTTCCTCAAAGCAGCTCATGGGACATTTTGGGAGTAATTTAATTTTGTGCATTTGGACCTTAGTGATGTTTACATGAAGGTATGCATTATTTGTTAAAACTCAGAACAGTGCATCTAAAAATTGTGTAATTTACTATATTTAAGTTATACTCCCCCCCCCAAAGCATAGATACAGAAAACAGACTGATGGTTGTCAGATGGGTTGGGAATCTGGCTAATTAAGGTGAAGGGATTAAGAAGTACAAATTAATATTTACCTGAAAGAACAGCAACAGCAAAAGAAAAAGAAAAACAGATAAGTAACTGTGAACTATGACTCCTATGATCTAGTAGCCTCCAGAGTAATCTCGGATGCAATATTTTGTCAAAGTGGAGGCAAAATCAGAACATGGATGTAAATAGTGTTAAGGGCTCCTTTGAAGGTGATAGGGGACTTAAGAGTTGGAAAATTTTAGTTTAAGGTAAATCGTTATAAGCTTAGTAAGTAATGTATATGTTAAAAGCTTTTGATTCAGGTCTTACAAACGAGGCCCATCCTGACTCCTGGGAATCAGTCGACCTCCTGGGGCACTGCTAAAGATCACCACCTGGGGACAAGTGG